AGAGGTGATTATCTTTTGGATTAAAGAAATCAGTAAGGGCAAGAATGTGAAGTGTGGTATTTCTACAAATTGAGAGGGGACATTTTCAAAATTTTAACAAAAGTATAGATCAAATTATTCTGCTTGTATCCTTCCATACTTTCCAAAGTTAGCAGCCTGCAAGTCAACCAAGAAGGTCTGAATATTTTAATTTATTGGATAAATTATACTAATCTCTCTAATATTTTGTTAATATACACTGATCTCTCCATTGTTCACTAAATTATACTTACTTTTTTTTAGATTTGTCTGTAAATAACAAATACTTCATCTTCGTCAACTGCTGATGATAACAATTTTGTGCATTTCATATTTCAATTGTAGCATTGGAAGGTATGTTTATTATAATAAAATACAATATATATAGACTGAAATGTAATTATAATAAACTCGACAAGTCTGCCAACAAGTCTCCAGGAAAAGTGTATAATTTGACAAATAAGAGGAAATGTCAGTATACTTTGACGAAATTAACCTCAAGAATGAAAATATAATTTACCCTAATTTATTTTATATTTATGATTTTGATTGAAGGAAGGGGCTATTTATAGATCCAAAGACTGTCCACGTTGACAAATGAATAATCACAAGTTTATAAGGTCAATTTTTTTTTTTTTTTTTTTTTTAATGGATATTCATTCTATCTACTTCTTCTTTTCACTTCTTTTTAAGAATTTTCTAAAGATGCAACTTGAATCCATCAATTTAAAGCAACTTAGAATTAATTGAGTTTCCTTGGGTGTGAGTTAAATGTTTAATTTGAATTTGAGTTGAAAATGGATTGAGACCTGAAAAAATTGACCAAATCTTATAAACAAAACTTATATTATCATTATTAAAACAACAGTACTTGAACTTAACTGGAGCAATAATCAAGCCTTCTCTAGCTAACCCGAGCTCTAACAATTAAGCTCGGGTTAGGCTTGTTAGGTTGGCTTGGGTTGAGTTGATCTAGGGTTTTAACATAAGTTCAACGCACAATATATATAATTTGTCTCCGTCACTGTTTAATTTAAAATAAAGAAAAATGTTCGGTTTGTTTCTGTCCATGCACCGAAGATAACTTTGGTCCTGCTGTGATAATTGACCAAAAAAAAAAAAAAAAGATTTAATGCACTCATAATTTATATTCATCTTGGTTTTACTTGTTTGGCTACCTTCACATTATGAAATATAAACTGTATCTGCCGTGTCAGCTGGGACATATAGTGCATGTTTGCCGGCTAATAAAGAACAGAGAATTCGGATGTATAGTTTTTGCAGCTGCATTTATTAACATATTGTTAAGTGAAGTGTGTGTGTGTGTATATATATATAAAACACAAATAAGTTAATCAAACAATATATAATCACAATTCACAAAATTCAAGATGTTTCTTTTCTTAATTCATGCAATGCACGTCATTAAGGAGATGGTTTCGCCAAAAAAAAAAAGAAGCTATCTACTGTTGGATATTGATAGAAACTTCTTCTCTCATTTCAACGGTAGAGCTTCGTAAAAGATTGCTTAATTATAGCACTCATTCCAACGGTAGAGTTTCGTAAAAGATTTGCCTAATTATAACAGAAGAGGGTTAATTTATACACCGAAAATAGTTTCGAGTTCTCACAAATGATACAATGACCGATATGTATGATAATTATGATAGAGAAATTGGAATTTGAACTCTAAACCTATTTGGAAAGGATATATATATATATGATGTCAAATGCACATTTCGGAGATATGTATTCTGTCGTTTGCCATTGATACCTTTATGCCCCAAACCGCAAACCTTGTCATGAGCTTTGATTGTGCATGGCGTATACGTTTTCATATAGTTGATCATGATATGTATGTATGTCCACATTCAAAGAAACATACAAAGTTTTTGGTTGTAGAATTTAATTTCCTACGTAATGTTTAATTGGTGCTACTCACAAAATCAAATACAACCTTATCCACCTTATCCCTAGTAGTTGATTCACAATAATTCAAACAATGATGTAGCTTTCTAGTTATATTTGCGCACACATTATATATCCTCCGCGTGCATGGGATAATTATAGAGAAATTTCTTTGAAATTGATTTCAAATTAAAGAATTTGAATTCTCGACCTACAGTGAACTTTGCTGTTAAACTTATTGGTTTTAATGGTGTATGGACCACAACTTTTCATACAATTCATGCATATCCATATTCAAAGAACTATACTTGACATCCTTATCCAACTTATTATAAAGTCTTTAATTCCCAAGAATTCAAAGCTTTATCTAACCCCACACTATATAAATATATATCATTCATGTCCCACGGTAGTGAATGAATAAAGTTGATTTTGACCAGATGTGTTGGTCCTAAAACAACGGTGCTAGACAGACATCCAAAGTCAATTTTCCACATGGAATCCAATATTAGTGAGATTTTTACTTATTTTTGGGGCAAAATTGCGAATTTTGCATGAGTTATTTATTATTTTTTTTTTTTGGAGTTCGTTGTGACTTTAAATGCCAAACTTTAAAATGAGATTTTTTTTTTTTTTTTTTTTTTTTTTTTTTTTTTTTTTTTTTTTGGGGTAGGGGTTGTTTTAATATAAGTTTTTCTTTATAGGAAGGAAGAAAATAGAATAGAAGAGAAGAAAGGTTGGATGAGACATCTTATGAAAATGATAGTGTTTTATTTTTATTCGGTTGGATGGACGAGAAAGAAATGAGGTAACTCCTTAATTTATTTGTTAAGAGAGAATGAAGGAGATAAATTGTTAATATTGGGTTTATCTAATACTTATGAAGGGTACTATTATAATTTAAAATTTTCATAATTCTTAATTCTAAACAGGTTAAGGGCTTATCCAATTACGTGTGTTTGATAACGTAATTTGAATACCACTGAAAAAGATTTTTAAAAATATTTATTTTTTAATTACCACTTAAAATCTTCAGTATTTAAAATTCAACTCTTAAAATTTTCAGTACTTAATTTTAAGTTTTATCAAACAATTACCTTCTTTCTCTTCCTTTCTTTTCTTGGTTTATAATTAAATATGTAAAACAGAAGAATGATTCATTTGTCCTATGTTCTCTTTCCTCATTCTCTCGTGTCTACCAAAATAATGAGGTTTGTTTTTTTCTTTTCTATTTTTCTTCTATCCCTTTTCCTTTCATCCTACCAAACGAAGAAAAATGTGACCATATTGCTTCAAACTTTAAACTAGACTATCTAATTCTAATTCTAATTCAAATGCAACAAATTATTTGTGGAGATAGTCAATGGATGAATTTAAATATATTCCAAAGAATAGAAACTTTGGCCCATATATTAAATCAAATAATGTATTAGGTAATATAATAGCAAAGTGGACTCTTTGTTTATCAGTAGTTGGGGTACAATTACTAATTAGTCAACTCATTCATCTAATTGTCTTGGGGGTGACAGAACAATAATGATAAATAATAAAAATTGTTAGTCAAATTGAGAAATAACTAATAATTTAGTCATAATCATAGATTTAAAAAATAATAATGTGGGACTTTAATTTCAAATCTCACCTACGACTCACTCACGTTTCGACCCAATGGAGGGGTGGAACAGTTACGGATGTGTGACTTAGTGACAGTGACATTATGGTGTTATGGATGTTCTTCTTTGGAGAAAATAATAATAAAAAATAAATAAAAAATAAAAGTGGGAAGAAAAACTGTTTTTATAAATAAATAATGTTAAAAAAACTAAAAAATTGTTTGCGAGCATGTGAAGCACAGACGTAGACACGGAATATGAAACACAAATGTAGCATGAATAAAATAAAATAAAACAACATATTATATAAAACATTGGTTTTCACTCACTTACCATGGATGTAATCACTAATTTTGAAAATCCAGATATGAACCTAAAATAAAGTTTGGTATATATATTATTTAATTTATAGTTATGGTAGACTTGTGCAATATGGGAAAAAAATGAAAAGATAAAAGAAAAATCATGAAATTTTCGAGCTAGGTTTGGCCAATTCACTAGTGTCAAGATGGCCCAATATATGAACAGTCTTACAAACTTTTATCTAAAACTTATTTGGTCATTGGCAAAAAAAAACTCACACATATATGTAGGCACAAACTTATATATAGAGACGTAGGCACGAACTTACATACAAAGAGGGGAAGCTTTTTTATTATTTTATTTTTTAAAGTTATATATCCTTAAAATATCACTATTGTTCCACATGAAATTACTAAAAAAATTTATTATTGACCCCCTCTCACATAATTTTTTGGGTCTGTACCTACTGAAAATTCAAACCCTCCCCATTTTACTTTTTGAAAAATTGAAAAGTAACAATAGCCTTCAATCCTTGCTTGGTCATAATTTAGGATGGACTGTGGCCCGGTAATCAAATTTGTTATTTTAAAAAAAAAAAAAAATAGCCAAAGGCCCAAATTGAAATGGGCTACTTCTTTTACACATTGATTTTCTTTTTGGGCCATTTAAAGATTCAAACTCTAATCTCATTTTCTATTGTTCATATGTCAATATAGTGCTAAAAAAAAACACACAAACTTTAGTATAGAGCCAAACATTTCGCATTCCTTTTATGTATTCGGTCTATAAATAATTATTCTTTGAATATTGTAGACTCTGATCAACTCTTTGTACAATATACCTTACCAATGATCGAGTTCGAATATCTCAATCTGCAGGTGTCGTAGCAGGACTGATCCGTTTTGATTTTGAGTCTGAATCCTTTACGGTATAGAGATTTTCAAGTCAGTCAAAATTTGAAATCGAGAAAAATGTATCGAGACTCAAAACACGATTTAATTGAGTTGAAAATCTCTTAAGAGTGGAGACCGGGTCTAGAGTCTAGACGCCTAGATTTGAATAATACTACGGAGTTGGGCTTACTAGGGCCCAGTTAAGTCTGGTCTATTCTTTATGTTAGGTCTATTTGTCCAAGAAGATGTAAAAGGCCTAAACCCAATCTCAATCTAGCCCAACCAAGTTTACAGCCCGTCATCTATATGCAGCGGTGATAAAATGAAACCCTAACCCATCCCATTCCATTTCTAGGGTTTCGCAGAGAGCAAAGTAGCAGCCTTCGTAGCTTTTCTTCAGTCGCATACATGGGTAAGCCCCGTACTCTTTATGAATTACGATTTCTGTAAGTTAATGTTTTGTTGATAATGTATACATATATATGTATGTATATATATATATATATATATATATAAGATTGGATTGTTGACGCATATTTGTTGCATGGTATGTGAATTGGGGGTACAGCGAGAATTAAGGTTCATGAGCTGAGAGGAAAAACCAAGGCAGAACTGTTGAGTCAGTTGAAGGATCTGAAAGCTGAACTCGCCCTTCTCCGAGTGGCCAAGGTCACTGGTGGTGCTCCTAACAAGCTCTCCAAAATGTACTCTCTCTCTCTAGATCTAATTTGCTATCGAGTTGATATATTCATATGGGTGCTCTTTTATATATATATACACACACACACATGCGTATGCATTCTTTTTTACTTAATTAGCAGAATTAGTGTTTATCGGTTATTACTTATTTGTCCCACTTCTGCTTGCTTTATATATATGTATATTTATATATGCATAGATATTTGTTTGTGTTTATATAAATGCATCTGCTTACTCTAATTAAGTTTATGTTAATAGTCAGAGACATTGATGCTTATATACTCTTATTTTTTTCAGCAAAATTTTTTTTACTCTTAATTTGCTTCTGTTGATGGTCTTGAACCTTTTATAGGCTTCAATGGAGTCGAACTATTTTTTGTTGATTTAATCATTGAATTTTGAGTATGTTGTGATTGGCTCCACTGTAGAGTTGGAGTCATCACCTCAACTATAATTTGTATTTGTATTGATGGCTACTGTTTGCTATAATGGTCTCATCCATAATGATGATTTTGTAGTATACATAAAGCACAATCTCCAAGTCATTTCCAATTGGAGAAATTGATAATAGAAGATAAAGTTGTTTGTTTTTATGGTTTTGGTTTGCTTATGTATCTCAATCTCCTCCTGTTTAGATTAGATGCCTTCAGATATTTTATGGATTTAGTGATGGTTTGTGCAATTTGATGATGTGCTTGGTTCTTTTTTTTTATGCAGAAAAGTGGTGAGGTTGTCAATTGCACAGGTGTTGACAGTGATCTCACAGAAACAGAAGGCTGCTCTTAGGGAAGCATACAAGAACAAGAAATACTTGCCCCTTGATCTGCGTCCCAAGAAAACCAGAGCCATCCGCAGACGTCTCACCAAACATCAGGTGTAATTTTACTTCTAATCTGCTGCTATTTCATCCCACCTATTTTATTTTATTTATTATTATTTTTCTAGTTTAGTTTACAATGCTGGACATTGTTCCTCTTATGCTTATTATTACTGTTGTTAATTTCCTGCATATTAAGTCTGTTTTGGATCTAAAATGGAAAAAAAATATAAGCTTTTGAATTTTTTTTTTCTTTTGTTGTCTCAGCTACCAAGACAAGGGTTAATATAACCAAGTGGATTGGGTAGCCTTTTTTTTTTTTGTTATAGTTTTTCCGGATATAAAATAATTTTTGTTGAATGTGCAAGTTAGTTGGAACCCGCATGAACTCTGTGTTGAATATTTTTAGGTACTAATTACACCTTCATTAGAAAATTTGTGCTAATTAATTGTTTTTAACTATGGAATTTGTTTGTGAGGAACAGTATAGATAAGTTTGTAAGAATTTACGGGAATTTTGTGCTTGCTTTATGTGAAAGAATCATTTATTGCTTTCTGTTTGGAAAATGTTAGGCTCCTACATCTAGGAAGCATGGACACGCCTAAAATGAAGTGTTCGTGTTGGTGTTGGACATTGTTAGACATGACCCGGCATGTTGCATACACCAAACAATTTGTCTGGATATTTTTCATTTTTTGACAGATATCGAACACGTCCCAGACGCACTGGGACACCATGATACATCGTGACATGTCACACATGTTTGATTAAAAGCTATTATATATATATGTGTGTATTGAGCAGCCAAGTAAATCAGTATCTTGAGGCGGTTCTTATCCACCAACCAAAGCATATTTTGGATCTGAACTTTCTCTTTGCCCTTCCCAGAAGACTTGCCCGTTGTTGAGAGCGCAGGATCCGATTCTTCAGAACTATTTGAATGGAATTCAGATTCTCGTGGATGGATATTGAAGATTCTTGTAGATAGATCATTGTCGCATTGGTCTATGAAAAGCATTTACTTTTCTAGTTAGAGACCAACGTCTTGGGGCTAATGTGGGATCCGCTCAAGGACCTACTGGTTTAGGTAAATATCTAATGCGTTCCCCGACTGGAGAAGTCATTTTTGGAGGAGAAACCATGCGTTTTTGGGATCTGCGCTAAGTTTTATTTTTTTCATATATATAAAATTTATCATGCAATTTTATTTACTCAAACTTTTTACACATTACTTTTTTGAATTTGTAAAAGATCACAAAATGAAAGTGATAAGTATATTGCTCTCTTGTGGACAAGCTTTGAACTTGTTCCTGATCATCAAAGTTTGACTGCCCATGAGCTATTTCATAAATTTTCTCTCAATTTTTTTTTTTCTTTTTCTTTCTGTCCTCTTCTTCAAGAAAACCTTTTTTTTTTTTTTTTTTTTCTTTAACTAATTGTCTCTTGCCTGGTAGAATTCTCTTTCCTTTTCTTCCACAGAACTAATTTTGAGAGGGTTTAGAATTTCTATATCAGCCAATTCTCTCTCTCTCTCTCTCTATACATACAACTGTAACCTTTTGTTTCCTAATGGATTTAGATTACAAAATATTATAGAGGTATTTAGCCCAATCACTCTTCTTTTTTCTCTTCTTAAATGAGAGTATTGTTGTCGTAGTTCATTAGTTATTGTGATATGGGATTCTTTATTCTTAAGTTGATGAAAAGTATTATTAGCATAATAATATATTATTGCATACATAACTTATCGAAAAAATATATATTATTGCATACATAAAAATATACATCTATTATTTGTTGTGTTTGTCAAATGTTTAGGATCTGCCGTGTCGTGCCGTATCCTTGTTGTGTATGTATCTGTTCTTGTAGTCCCACATTGAGAATAGTTTGCTAAAACAATCGTGCCCAGGTTGTATTTTGATGGATGAATGGATTTGAAATTTTAAAAATATATATAATAGGATTGACAATGAGAATTGGATTGGGAGAATGAAGGGTGACGATAGAGTGGAAGTTTGGGAGTATTCTTTTAGGGTCCTTGTGCAACTAGTTTGTGCACAAGGAGATATATTATTAGGATCCTTGTTTACCTGCTCTATTATTTTTAGTTTTTATATTTTTAAGTTGTGTAAAGTTTTTGTTCCAATTACCTCCAGCGTACATTAATTCGTGATTTCTTTGTCTGTGCAGGCATCATTGAAGACGGAACGGGAGAAGAAAAAGGAGATGTACTTTCCAATGAGGAAATATGCCATTAAGGTGTAAGTTTGGATCTCTTATGGAGGAGATTTTGGTACTCACTATAAATCTTATTCCAATGATGAACTTCTAAATTTTGATTACTTCTACTCCAATACTGGACTTGAATGAGTGTTTTAATTTGAATTAATGGCTAGTAAACTCCGGAGGTTGTCTCTCTCCAATGCAGTGATAGGCGAGAGATTGATATTTATGTATGTGTTGGTGGTTGCTTTTACGAGTTATGTTTTGTTGCCATGCTGTCTTGTCAGTTGCATTTTCTTCTGTATGCTTTCAAGGATATTACAGTTTTAACATTAGAAGGGTTTTGGGGGTGCAAAAAAGAATCAACATCCTCGCATTCATCACAGAATGAAGAAGGGGGGTATTTGTAGATTTCTCTACCTAGACGAAGGGCATTATGGATTTGAACTTGCAATGTGCATGTGAATGATGAAAAACTGTTTCATGTCTTGTTTGCTTGATAATTTAGGCTGTAGTGTATTTGAATTACTGGTGAGGTTTTGTGTGTGCGAATACACGCAACACACACACACACACAGGAAATTCCTTAGACCGCAAAGGACAGAAGCATTCTTATGGACTCCATTTTGGCCACTGGAGCAAAGGTTTCATCATAATCAGTTACAGCTTGTTGAGCATATCCCAAGGTAAAACGTAGTGCAGGATTGGTGAAATGAAAGGGATGAGTCTAGGTCGACTGCAAATGAGATTAAGGATCGCGGCTTCGCTAACTGTTTGAATTGGTAGAAAATGAGTGGACTTGGTCAAAAAAAACAAAAGAAAAAGAAAAAGGAGGTGACTCAATGGGGGAGAAGCAAACCAACATTGATTTTGAAGCTCAAAACCCTTGAACCAAGGTTGCACAGGGACTGAACACTAGGTGGAGCTGTTCTGAAAATGTGATCTGTGATCCTTGTAGATCTAGCGCCCTTTTCTTTCGGGATTTTCTCTAGGCCTAGTGTCCTGTGGACACGCAGGGGTTCTAGGATCCCTCTTCGACCCTCTATGTTGGGTAAAGTTGGACCCTAATAAGCAACTGACTTCAACCACTACCACAGCCCTCCACCGCTACCTCTACCATCAATTCACGGGCCCTAACCAACAAACCTTTGTCTTTTGAATGATTTGACAGTTGTAAATATCATTCAGTTTAGTACAATGAGAGGGATCATTTTAACATGATGTTGTTTGGAAATTGCCAAATCATATGGTAATGCACTGTGAGTCTGGCTGGTGGTGAAGATTTGGGGTTTGCTGGCTTTAGCCCTTACCCAACCAGTTTTGTGTGACTTAAAAAAGCCAAACCTCGAGGCCGGGGCCAAGCACCAAGTGGAGCAAGCTGGATCTTGGCTGGGGGCTCGTTGATTGTAAAGCCATGTATGTTTCTCCTATGTTTGGGGAAACAAGCATATTTAGTCAAATCATATTTAGTGCCTATGTTTTTGGAGGAAATAACATCTCTCTCCTTGCTCCCCTTAGTTTAAAGAAGTCAATATTCTGCCTTGTATATATAATATATATCTTGTTCTTTTTTCCACCAAAATACAGAGAGTTTTTTTTTTTTTTTTTCACCAAACACAGAGACGGTGGACTAAGCCCATATATAATATATATCAACTAGTCAACACAAACAAAGAAATTAATATTCGAAATCCATATTTCATGTAATATCAAGAAAATCAGATATATGACCAGTTAACAAACTCATGTTCGCATTATCACAAAATCATAATAAATCTAGCTGAACAAATCAATTGCATCTACATCTTAAAAAAAATATAAGGATTCCTCTCATAATTTCATTCAATACCAAACTAAAAAGTCATAAAAAAGAATAAAAAAATGAAGAAACAAATTAGTTACTTGAATACATCTTTTTCTTTGAATATCATATGTAAAATGGACCAGTTCAAAGCTGATCAACTAGATAGAACAAGCCAAATGTTATTATGTCTGCAATATTACTAGATAATGATAGTTTTGGTGGTTTTTATTGCCAATTTATTTCAAACAATTGATTGTTTATAGGAGTCCGTTCGGGATTGCTTTTCAACTACTAAAGTCTTTTTAATTTATTAAATTGTGTTTAAATATATTTTGGTAATGAAAAAATAAAAGGTTTTAGGGATTCTTGATTTTCCCATGATATGCAACATTTCACTATGAAAAATTATTACGATTTTTTTTTTTTTATATATTTTATTTTTTTATGATGCACTCACATCAAAATTCAAGTACTCTCCATAGTGCATTGTAACTAGGAAGGGTTCATTGTCAGGAAAAATAAATAATAATAATATGAAAAAAAAAAAAAAAAAAAACTAGGAAAGGTGATGTGACAAGGACATTTTTTTAATTAATGGAAAAAATATATATCTTGTAAAAAGAGAGCATTCATGCCAATCAAATTAAAGGAATAAACTGTAGGGGAAGTCGGTTTCTTTTTTCCACCAAAATACAGAGACAGTTTTTTTTTTTCCTTTTTTTTTTTTTTTTTTTTTTTTTTTTTTTTCACACCAAACACAGAGACGGTGGACTAAGCCCATATATAATATATATCAACTAGGCAACACAAACAAAGAAATTAATATTCGAAATCCATATTTCATGCAATATCAAGAAAATCATATATATGACCAGTTAACAAACTTATGTTCTCATTATCACAAAAATATAATAAATCTAGCTGAACAAATCAATTACATCTACATCTTAAAAAAAATCTGAGGCTTCTCTCATAATCTCATTCAATACCAAACCAAAAAGTCGTAAAAAAGAATAAAAAATGAAGAAACAAATTAGTTACTTGAATACATCATTTTCTTTTAATATAATATGTAAAATGGACCAGTTCAAAGCTGTTCAAGTAGATAGAACAAGCCAAATGTTATTATATCTGCAATATTACTAGATAATGATAGTTTTGGTGGTTTTTATTGCCAATCTATTTTAAACATTTGATAGTTTATAAGAGTCCGTTCGGGATTGCTTTTCAACTACTAAAGTCTTTTTAATTTATTAAATTGTGTTTAAATATGTTTTGGCAATGAAAAAATAAAAGGTTTTAGGGATTCTTGATTTTCCGATAACATGCAACAGTTCTCGATGCAAAATTATTGGTGTCTTTTTTATTTTTTTTTATTTTTTTTTTATGATGCACTCACATCAAAATTCAAGAACTCTGCATGGTACGTTTTAAACTAGAAAGGGATATGTGACAAGGACATTTTTTTAATTAATGGGGAAAAAATTACTATCTTGTAAAAAGAGAGCATTCATGCCAATTAAATCAAAGGAATAAACTGTAGGGTAAGTAGGTTTGTTTGGCTCCTAAGAAAATAAATAATCTGAAAAAAGTCAGAAAATTTTGACTTGACTTATTTTTCTTGACTTTTTAAACTTTTATTTATGTAGATATATATAATACCGGTAAAACGGGGATGTAACATGTAGTTATGAATTTTATTGTCTTCTATCAAATATAATCCAAATAGTCAACAACTCTCCATATATGACGATGATCATGCATAAATTTATAGGAGTATTGGATTGACCATTTCCCAAGTGATAGATACAGCATTTTTCTTTTTTGAAAAAAAATTAATTATAGATAGAATTAGGAGTTCTAAATAACAAATTGATCAATTTTAAAAATTGATTTTCACTTTGATTGAATTAAGAAAAATAATTACAAATGCATCAAAAACTATTGTTAAGGTCCAAAATGCCCTTTAAGCTCTTATTCTAAAATATCAAAATAGATAATTTAAAACTAGTTTGACTATTATTTAATTCAAACTCCTCAATGATGTGATGCAAATCCTTTATCATGTTAAGATTTTTGTTTTAATTTGTCTTCTGGTAAAGACGTTTAGAAGGTTGGTCTCATAATCTCATTATAACCACACACACACACACATATATATATATTCTAACTTAGAACAGAATGGTTTTTGTCTGATAAAAAAGATGCAAACTTTTGTAGATGGATGTCATTTGACTAAATAGATCATAGAATTCATCCAAATTTGCTACACCTATTGCAGATTTTTTTCCAAGTATAAATTCATTCTTAAATAATTTTCTTTTATTATACAAGTATTTACCATATTATGTAAATGGCATTCTTTCTTGATAATAGTCCTTATCTGGGACTCCCATCTCTTTAACTTATATTTAGAGTAATTAAAACCTTTTATTTCAGCTTTGGTATATGTCAAACTTTTGGTTGTAATTAACACTCGCTAAATTTAACACCTTAATATCAGCTATTAGTATTAAGTAAGGTTATAGTTTTTTTTTTTTTTTTTTTTTTTTTTTTTTTTTTTGAAATATATGATTATTGATTATAAGAAGGTTATTTTGCTATTTTACAAGGATATTTTGGGTCTTACTAATAATTCTTGATGGATTTGTAATTATATTATTTGATTCAATCAAATTGAAAAATAAACTTTTAAAATAGACTATTTTGTTATTTAGAACTCCTAAGTCTCCTTGCGTGTAGTTTTCCATTTTCATATCTTTATTTCATGCCAGACTGATCTCTTCTTCATCATTTATCACATGCTACTTGCTTATTCGACTCTTATTTTTATCTTCAAATTATAATTTATGCATAACAAAGTCAAGCATAACATCATTTAAAACAATTTTTCTTAGTACAAAATCATAATTTTTAAAATAATGATTCTGAGGACCGGCACCTCCGGATAATATGAATTATTAATTATGACCAATATAGTGCGTATTTATAAATTATTAAAAAATAATTATCTGAATTCAAACACTTGATTTGGATTCATTCAATCTTGTTTTGTGTACTATGTTCTTACTACTTTGTGTACTATGATCTTATTTGTTAATTATATATATAGATTATAGAAGCATATATCAAGAAATGCGGCTCAAAATTATTTCCATGATCTAGAAAAGAGAAGGCGCACATTCAAAGAAAGTATTAATCAAATGCCAACGTGATAGAAAGTCCGTCAGTCAGAATAAATATGACTAATTTTATTTGTGAGGAGTCTGATAATGATTTGTAATGACATCTTGAAAATGTTAGTTCTTACTCATATTATTAAATTAGTTCAAATTATTTAACATGTGACATGAACAATTACGTAGAAATTTTATAATGTTAATTAGCAACAAAGTACATCATATGTGTGTAATGGTAATGGTAAAGTTGGAATTGTGAACAACATACAAGTATATCATAGGATTATTAC